TAATGAAGTACAGTGTCTATCAAATCTATGCCATTGATTCAAATTCAGCAGGTTATTCAATTTGGCTTAATTTTTCAAAGCCTTTGAGCATCTGCAGCTCCCAACAGCTCTGGGAGATTTTTACCTTTGACATTAGACTAAATTACCATAGTTCTTGTTACCATTGTCTATAATACAGACCTCTATCACAGAACTACTTCCCTGGTTAGCAGTCTCAGGACAGAGGTCAAGAAGCAAAGATGCTTGGATTTTGAACTACTACATCAGTCCAGAAGTGACCACTTTAACTCAGTTTATCAAAATAGCTTGCTGCTTATGAGTGGTTACAAAGAGGGTGAAGGATATATGACTGCTACAAGTTTAATTTACAAGGTAGAATGTTTCCTCCTTCTACAGATACATATATATGCATGAAAGAGACGGAAGTTTATTAATCAGTTGTATTCTTTTAAAAAAGTGAGCATTAAGTTTGGGTGCTCCATTTGGAGCATCCAATCTAAGTTCACCAAATGGGACCTGATTTTCACAGGGTAGCAGCTGTGTATGTTCTCAGAAGCCAGGTCCCTTTCAGTTCTCTGAGGCTCGGCACCTCAATTCAGACCACTCAGAATTGCTAGTCATTTTGGAAAATGTGGGTTTGGGGTTTTTTTTTGTAGCACACTGATTTTTTTAATATAAGAATGAAGGCACCTTGGCAGGGAGACGTGTTGGAGGGCTCCAATGTCACTGTTATGCTATGCCTGTTCTGCGGATAGAGAGAACACTTCAGATTGCAGGCACTTGTCGCAAGCACTACAATCAGTAAATAATTCTCTTAATGAAAACAACGTAGTGGGCATCTTTACACAAGCTCTGGGGGTTTTGCAGAGGTGCTTTAATTAGAGTGGCTCTAAGGGTCGATTTATTTAAAGCGCCCGCAGCATTTCATGTATTCACATCATTCCATGCTTCAAAATGGCAGCAGGGTCACTTTAAAACTTGTTCAATGAGCTTTAGTTAGTGCTCCCACTGCCATTCTGAAGCACAGGGACACTGCTTACACAAGATGCGGAGGGTGCTGCAGTGCACTAATTAACATGCTTCAGCAGACTCGATTAATCAAATCTGCTCCAATGCTAGGGTTACCAAACCTCCAGGATTGCCCTGGAGTCTCCAGAAATTAGATATAAATCTCCAGGATACCGCTGAAAGTCACCCAGGAGATAAATGATAAGGCATCCATTAAAATAAACATTAAATGTTGAATCCAATTTAAATAGTAGTCCAGTGGGTTTTTAAAATGTAATAGTAATGTGCATTTCCCTTCCTGATGTAAAGTCTTTAATGCAGGGGTGGGCAATTATTTTGGGCAGAGGGCTGCTTACTGAGTTTTGGGAAGCCATTGAGAGCTGCATGACAGGCAACTGGGGACAGATAAATATAAATTTTCTGAATTTTTAGGGGCCCCGCAGGCTGGATAGAATGGCCTGGCGGGCTGCATCCAACCCCCGGGCCGCATTTTGCCCACCCCTGCTTTAATGCTATTATGTCACATAATGAAACCTCCCAGAATAGATTCAAACAGAGCTGGCAACCCTATCTGATGTGCTGTAGTTACAGCGCATTGGCACAGCGTCCCCACACATCTACAGGCACCCTATGTTCATAAATTGGGATTGGAAGCCAGAATATTGCCTACTGTGGCTACAAAACTTATAGGTCAGATGGGTGCAGATACAGAGGAGATTTATTTACCTATATACACAGATTTATTGCATTTATCTCTTTGATCTATCCTATATAAAAAATGAACATCTTCTATGATTAGACATCTTTCTGAACCTAACAATGCTTTCCCACAATACACATCTGCCTTCCTGTGTCATCTGAGAGATATAACAGAATCCATTACGTTTTCTAATCTTAAAAGCTACATTGAGCATTTCCGCAATAATGACTGATGACCATTGATCTCTTTGTTTCAGTCTGTTTAGGATATTGTTTCACACCTCTCATCACTTCCTTTTTCTACATTAACTGTACTCTCTGACTTGTGATTTAACACTCATCATGCTGCCTTTCACTTGGAAGCTGGCTCATGGTTCTCAAAGCAATCTTGTTCTTTTTTTTTGGTACTAAATGTATACACGATTTACAAAAGGCTCCACATCAATATACCATTTATTAGCACAATGGTCTGGACTCCTTGACTGGAAAATGAGAAGGCCAGGTTCTGAGCTGCTCTTCTTAGGTGGCACAGCTCAGGAGTGGCTGGGGTCAGGAGTGGCTTAAGAGAGGGCTTGTCTGATCTGAACTCGTGTATATTTTAGATTGCTCTGGGTGCTGATGTATCCCCCCAGTTTAAGTTACAGAAGCCATAGGGCTTCTTTTACATATTGCAGCCTCTTCACAGCTGCCATGGGGCTACTCTATAGTTCAGAGTAGCAAGAGAGTTTAGGACTAGTCTTCCAATTTTAATTTAGTAATTCTTCTGACTATTATCTCATATTGAAGGAGGTGGTGGTGGAGGCCTATGTAATAAGGGTTACATATGCCAGCTCCACGTTAAGGTTATTCTTTGGGTATTTTAGGCTCGCAAATGTTGATCTGATGGTTTGCTTTGTTAAAGGTGATTGGAGGAGTAATAAAAATAAATTATGAACTTTTATAAACAAATAAAAGAAACTACAAAAAGTTGGTTAAACAGTGTGCTACTTAACTTTGAGCATGTCTTTTACAGTTTGAATTCAGTCTTCCCTTTCTGCTTTGAGCACAAGAGCTGCACTAATTTCTGCCCCTCAGAATGGCCTGTTGGTGCAATGAATCATTCTGAGCTGCAGTTTACATTTTAATGCTTTCCAAATGCTGCAGAGTCACCTGGGGGGAGGATAGTTTCCTAGTTGGTAGGGCCAGAAGGGACGTGAGTAGATCATCAAGTCCAACCCCCTGCCATGGGCAGGAAAGGATGCTGGGGTCAAATGACCCTGGCTAGGTGATTAACTCGCCTCCTTCTGAAGACCCCAAGGGTAGAAGCCAGCACCACTTCTCTTGAAAATTGGTTCCAGATCCTAGCTGCCCTGACTGTGAAGTAGTGCCTCCTGATATCTAGCCTGTCTACTTTTAGTCAACTTATGGCTGTTATTTCTTGTTACTCCCGGTAGGGCTCGGCGGAACAGGGACTCTCCCATTGCCTGCTGGTCCCCCTTGGCCAGTTTGTAGATGGCGACCAGATCCCCCCTCAGCCTTCTCTTGTGGAGGCTGAACAGTTTCAGGTCCCATAGCCTCCCCTCGTAGGGCCTGCCTTGCTGCCCCCTGATCATGCAAATGGCCCTCCTCTGGACCCTCTCGATGCTGTCCATGTCCCTCCTGAAGTGGGGCATGCAGTACTCCAACTGCGGCCTGACCAGTGTCGCATAGAGGGGGAGGCTCACCTCCTTGGACCTACTCGTGATGCATCTGTAGATGCATGACTAGGTGCAGTTAGCCTTCCTGACCACGTCCCCACATTGGCGGCCCATGTTCATTTTGGAATCAATAGTGACACCAAGATCCTTTTCTGCCTCTGTGCTGACTAGAAGGGAGTTCCCCAGCCTGTAGGTATGCTGCTGGTTCTTCTTCCCCAGGTGCAGTACCTTGCACTTGTCAGTGTTGAAACTCATCCTGTTCTCATCTGCCCACCCCTGTAACCTGTCTAAATCTAGTTGTAGCCTGTCTTTCTCCTTCAGCGTGCCCACTTCTCCCCACATCTTAGTGTCATCTGCGAATTTGAACAAGGTGCTTTTCACTCCCTCATCCAAGTTGCTGATGAAGATGTTGAACAGTGCAAGCCCAAGGACCGAGCCCTGGGGGACCCCACTGCCCACATCCCTCCAGGTTGAAAGAGATCCGTCCACCACCACTCTCTAGGTGTGGCCCTCCAGCCAATTTGTGACCCATCTGACTGTGTAGGCATCGACGCTACAGTCGCCTAATTTCTTAATGAGAATGGGGTGAGAGACAGTGTCGAAGGCCTTCCTAAAGGATGAGAAGGATGAGATAACTCTGTGGCATGGGACTCAAAGGAAATTATCAAAGTCCTGCTCAAAGTAAGCAAATCCTTTTGAAATGAATGAGAATTCTAGTCATGAGGGAGCTGCTGAATCAGGCCCTTATTAGACCTGATAGGCATGATAAACAACTTTTAGCCTTTGCAGGCAAATGAAGACAGCTATTTCCAACTTGCAATTTATAGTATTTAATCATCAACAGAGTAGGTGGAAAAACATAGAAAGCTCTTTTTATTATTGCTTTATTAATTAAGTATATGCTTTAACAGACACAAACAAGTTACATGTTGAGCTACTTGAAATCACTAATGTGTTAGCCATGAATACCATCTTTAAAAATGAAATAAAATAGGTAGTCTGATTTTTGGACAAGCAGACCTCCCACAAGCTAACTTCAGCTGCTGATCACCTCTGAAAATCAAAGATCAGGTACCAAAATTAAGCACCCTAAAATGAAGGATTCCCAAATTAGATACAACAGACCTGAGCCACCACTGCATCAGTTCAGTTTAATGCCAGCATAATTTATTTGATTGTAGTTCAATAGACTAGCATAAAACTAGATTAATGAAGCCAGGAATTTATGCTCTGTGTTTCTAGTTCTACTGACTGAGATACCAAAACAAAATGTGTGACATCATGTTCCAGATTCTAACTCTATTCTTCAGACCAGATAGGGCCTTACTCTTCATTCTATTAAATTCTATTAAAGTCAGTGGGTTATTGTGGACTAAGGTTATGTAAATTGAGCAAGACTTTCAGAATCTGGCCTTTTGTGTTTTTTTATAGCTCCTGCACAATTGAGCTTTAATTCTGATTGTAACCCCTGGATGCTACTATAATATATATTAGCTTGAGCTTTTAAATTAGATTAAAATAGTCTAATAATTACAATTAAAATAATAATAAAGAGCACATTACTAGGATCTCTAATATTCAATATACTTGCAACCACCATTGACTATCTTTGGCCTGTGACCTTATTTCATCTGAACAAAACATTAATCACTGGTGCAAATCTATTCAAATAACCGCCGAAGAAAGGATTTTTTCACTGGTGTCGTTATCCTCATGGTTGTTTTTCTCCGTAATGGCTTCATGGGCTGTTTTTTCAAAGGCAGCACCTTCTTAGGGGTTTGCAGCCCCTTAGCAAAATCCACATGCTCATTGCAGAAGTACTTGACATTAGCTTCTGAAAGGTGTAAAAGCATGTCTTCAGACAGGTCCATACACTGAGCATGGACCCAGTGGCCATCTCCATTGGAACAGAGGATCATAGCTGGTTTGTTCAGTTCAGTTGAATAGAATGGCACCCAGGTGTTAATGTCTATATCACATTTGGCAGAGCAGTTTATCCAGTAGCCTGTTTCTGATTCATCATCTTCATCATCCTCATTGTAGGTGTCAATATCATCATCATCAAACCTGTTGGCTTCAGTGCTAAAACAGAACTCTTCTGAATCTTCAAATGGAGTGGAGTCCCCTGGGTCTTCTGTAGATGTCTGGCTAAAAGTTTGTGCTGCCTGTTCTTCTTCTTCCTCACCTTCTGCTTTACATCTCAAAATGTAAAAGTAGTTTGCATCTGAAATCAGCTGCCTGTTGTCCCCTGGTATGCCCAGCAAGATAGCCCCATTACCCATATTACTACCAAACCATATCTTGCAGTGCTTAATATCTGGTGTCCAATCTGGGGCTTCCCTTTCCTTAATCTCTATTTTGTTGTCTTCTACAGTGACTGTATTGCAAACCATCCTTTTCTGGTTGTCAGCCATGTAGCCCCCGACAATGACAAACTCTTTGTTGCTTGTCTGTGTAACAATAGCACTGGATACAGAAATTCCCCCAGGCAAGATGGTGCAGCTCACAGCAGGGCTTCCCAGTGGGAGGTCAATTTTTAATCTGTACAGGTTGGGAGGTCTAATGTTATTTTCAAGGGAATGACCTCCTAAGATATAGATAGTATCATTTCTAGTAATGGAAACATGGAAAGAAAGTCCATCCTGAAGCTCAGGAAGGACATACGAGGTACAGCATCCAAACCCCAAATCCACCAAAAACACATGAGGCATACAGTCTACCACACTATTCCATTTTTCAGTGGTCCTTTGTCCAAAAGGGACATACGATCTTCCTCCAAATATAACAGTCATGCTTTTACCTCGGCTATGAACTGTATTAACTGTATGGCCATACCTAGCTTCAGGGACATCACCAACTAACTCTTTCTCAGTGCATTTAAAAGTGCACTTCTTGCTGGACTTACTTACTATACTCATAACATAGATCTTATTGGAAAGGTCATTATTTGGTGTTTTCCCACCATGGATGACGTATTGACATTTCTCAGACTCTTCATTGCCTTCAAGAATGCAGATGGCAGGGTAGCGGAGAGGGGGAAGGTAGCAGGACTCCTTAGAAAAAAAAGCAGGCTTCAGTTTCATCTCATTCTTTTTTAAATCAAGGAGGAAAACGCCTGTGGGACAGGATCTCTTTGGCCAGCCTTTCTGTCCAAAAAAGAAGACTTGCCCATCAAAATTCAGAAGAGAAAAGCCTGGTTGAATCAAGGTTGAATTATTAACAGTTGATATAATCTGTAGGGACATTATGTCAGGTGACTGGCTCATTTTATGGTCAGAATCTGGAAAAAAAGAGACACAGAAAACCACATGAGGCATTGCTTAAACAGGGTCAGCGTGATTAAATCAGCAACCAATTGGCTATGTGACCTTGGGTTAGTCATGTCAATCCTGCACCTCTGTTTCCCCTTCTGTACAATAGTGACATTCACTCAGCTTTGTAAAGTGCTTTGAGATCTAGAAATAAAAAATGCAATATATTATGACAGCTAAGTTAAGAACCAAATAAGATATTACATTTCTATTGTAGTGCCAGAGCTGGGAAAAATACTGCAAAAATCAATGATGCTTTGTCTGAATTAAAAAAAAGATGTATTCAAACTGTAACAATGACTCAACTCTGTGAACGTATTGCAGAAGAGGTGTACTGGAGATGGAAAGAATGCTCACTGAAAGGTGAATACTGAAGGTTATTCATGGAAAGCAAGTATTGAATATATAATTGTGACTGTTCAAACCAGAAACCTGATTCTAACAGTCCTGTTAGAATTCTTTTGTGCTGGCAGGGAAAGGAAACATACCATGGGGCTTGATCAAAAGTTTGCATTTTAAATTATTTATGGATGAACTGTAGACCAGGAATTAGCCATAGAAATTATTTAACACAACATTTTGAAAATCACAGTAAAGCAAGCTACAATCTACAGGTAGTTCATGAATGGAAAAAAAAAACAACTAATCCCTTGCAAAATGATATATGATTTTTTTTGCTGGTTTCTAGCTACCATATCACATTTGTCTACATCAGCTTCTCTGTGGCACAACTACAAGTTGCCTCACAATTTAACATGAATGAACTGAGCAGGTAAATATTTCCTTAAAGTATATTCAGATTGAATGCAACGTAAGATAACAACTGTGAACAGTATTAGTAAATTCCTACAGATGCTGGGTAACGTTGACTGCATTAATTAGGATTATACCCTGGAACTAATGCAGTTCGTACTGGTAATGGTGGCAAAATCCAGTCTTCCGTGAGCGGTGTATTTCAATCTACATGGAGGTGTACTACCTTGGAGTGCGTAGCCACAGGACTGACAAAGAGCTACGCGCTTACCCTGTACATAACACCAGGCAATGCTCAGTGATTATAGGAATAGCCGGCTCCCGACAATTCCTAAGGGCCTGTTTCCTTGTGCCTTTAATAGCAGCTTTGAAATTGTGGGGAATGAGTTACTTCAAGTCTGCCTTGTTGAACAGGATTGACCAGTCGGTGTCAACAATGATGTCAATAGGTAGGCTGTCGGTTTTCAACCTTTTTCTTAGGCTCCAGGAGCCCCTCCATACACTGGAGGGGCTGCTTGGGAAAGGCCAGCTCTTGGTTTCTGAGCGACGTGGCAGCAAGACGCTGGGCTCCAGCAGGGCCTGGGTTCTCTAAACTCAAGATTTTTCAAAATAAGAGAGCAATTCGGCGGCGGCTCCTGCCGCCAAGAACTCAAGAGAGCCCCATGGCTGCGGATTCCTATGTGAAATCTTCGGGTTTCTCTTGCCAGTCTGGTTTGCGTGCCAAACCGTGCCAAGGACCTCCAGGCACTCGGGGGGTGCTGTCAACCCCCTGGCTGAGAACCACAGGCCCAGCCACAAGCCCAGGGGGCTGAGTGAGGCCCCTAGTGCCCCTGCACCTTGCCCCTGGGCCTGGCCTCGCGCTACGCCCACGAGGCCCGTGTCTCACCCCCCGCCCTACATGGGCCGGCCCCAGCGCTGCACGGCACGCCGGCCCCGCGGCCTTCTGGGAAGAGTAGTTCTATCGCTCGGGACGCGGGGCCCTCTCCGCGCAGGCCGTGCCGGGAAGGACTACAGCTCCCAGCAGCCCCCGGGTTGCCCTGGGCCTGGCCGAGCGGCTCCGGGCGGGGGAACAGGTTGGCGCGGGGTGCAAAGTTGGGGGTGCGGGTCTGGTTGGGCCCCGCGGGGGTGGGGGTCAGGGGCCCTGCTCCCGGGCTGCGCCGAGGGGCAGGCGGCGGCCTGGAGCCCAGTGACGGCCAGGCACTGGGCTTTGGCACTGACTGCCGCTAAAGTCTCCCTTGACTTGATCAGCATCATCATAATTGTTATTGTCATTATTACTATGATCATGCGTGCTGTTATTGATGCTATTGACATCATTACTGACATTATTATGAATATTAGCATTGGCATTTCCAATATGATTACTATTGATATGCATATTATGAATATTATTGGTGTTTCCAATTACTGATAGGCGCGTTATGGATATTACGGGTGTTTCCAAAATTATTATTATTATTAACAACAACAGCAACAATAATAATATGCACATCATGGATATTATTGGTGTTTCCAACATTATTATTATTATTAACAATATGCATATTGATATTATTTGTGCTTTTGGTATTATGTATATTATGTATATGCATATTAATATGTATATTATGTATAATATGTATAATATGCATATTATGTATATGCATATTATGGTGTTTCCAATATTATTATTATTATAGGTGTTTCCAACATTATTGTTATTGATACACATACTATTGGTGTTTCTGATATTATTATTATTAACAATAATAATAATAACAATAATGTATTATGGATATTATTGGTGTTTCCAATAATATTCATTATGAATTATAAATATGTATATTATGGATAGTATTGGTGTTTCCAATATTATTATTATTTATATTATTGGTGTTATCAACATTATTATTATTGATCTGTGTATTGTGCGTATTATTGGTGGTTCTGATATTATTGATATGCATATTATGGATATTGGGGTGTTTGATATTATTACTATTATTTTTTTAATCATTATTATTAGTGATAGGCATATTGTGGATATTATTGTAGGTATTATTTATATTATTGCGGACATCGCCAGTCTTATATTATTCCTATTATTATTGATGTTATTTTATGTTCATCGTTATTATTGTTATGGTTTTTAGTACTACTAGTAATGCTATTATTATTAGATAATATTATAGTGATCATAACTTTAAAATGATAGTACCTTGAATGTAACCATAACTCTGACATGATAACCATAATTTTAAATGAGAATAACTTTTAAATGATGATGGCGATGCGAGCAGCGTGAGAGTGATGCGGTGGTGGTGGTGGTGGTCCAGAAATGATGCGAGGGGCAAGGATTTCTTCAGGCGATGTCTTTTAATCAGACAAGGCAAGGCAAAGCATTCTCTATTAGGTCTACTTCTCTGATGATGATGATGATAACTAATAATAATAAACCAGTGTGGGAAATGGTGCTAAATAGTGTGTTTCCCCCCTTGGGATTGTGGCTCCCTTTTGCTACAGCAGGATTGTGCTATATGTTTCCAAATTGTTCCTCAAGTTATGTTGCTTGTTCTGACAGTTCAGAAAACAGGAGATGAAAAAAGTAATGAAATTCAGTTTAAAAGTCATGAGATTTGTGGGGGGAAGGAAAGGGAAGGAACTGCTAGGTTTTTTTAGTGCTGAAAGTTTTAGGGTTCATGGTTTCAGACCTTACTGGCACTGATAAAACAACCTCACTGAAAGCTGACTTCCTTCTGTTGTCACACAACTGTGGGTGTTAAGGCCTTAAGGAAAAAACTACATAGTAGGAGACTCACTCTAAAACTATGAGGAGTGGCCATGCTGAGTGGGACATCCACCATCTTCTTTGGGATTTCTGTAGCACAGTCCTAGATAGAGTTCAAAATCTGTTTTCGTTTGCTGGGTAACTCTGTTGCCTTAGCTTGAAGGTTGTAGATTTCTCAAAGCTGATACGACTGTGCAAAAAGATCAAGGCCCTGTACTGTAGGTGAAATTCAGCCATGGACCCTATGTATCATTTGAGCTGGTGATCTTTCTTTTGATGGCTTACATGAATGCAGTTAGCCCTGACTGGCCTTTGTACAAAGGTGAATTTTCCCATATTAGAATTGGCAGCCTTCACACTGGACGTTAAACAAAGATCCTCCCTGCCTGTCTCTGACTACTCAAAGGACAATGTTTTTAAAAGAGGAAGCTGTAACTTAGGTTTACTGGCTAATATTTTTTCTGCCTTTTGCTTTGTGGTTTCTTTGCCTCGTTATTTCGGGGGCCTCAGAAAAGTGGTGGATCTTCCACACTGTAGGTATAGCATTTCTTAGGCACATTTTGGGGAGGAGGGAGAAAATTCTCTGAAAATTCTCTGCCAAAGTGATTTAATCATGGTCTTGCCATTAATTTTACCTTCATATATGCACCTTAAAAATACCTATACCTTAAAAATCTTATTATTATAGCATCCACAGTCTTGCAAATTACTTTCCAGATATAGAACAGTACACATCTCTGTTCTGAAGAGTGTATGTTACAGACAAACCTAGATTAGGAATTTGGGGAAAGACATGACTGAAATGAATTGAAGGTGGTGATAGATGCACATCTTGGTGGGCACAAGGTATATTAGCTACATGTTTCTTTTCTGTTACTTACATTAAATTATCTTTTGTTATCTCCCAACAGCAGTTCCTAGGTTTGGTTTCAGAGATCTTACATGCCAACATTAGATCTCTTCCACTACACATAAGTGAGCAGTTCCATAAGTAAGTGACAGACAGGTTTCTTGTAGGAAGGATTGAGGGGCTGGATCGAAAGCCGGTTGAGACAATGGATTCGGATTAGATTCTGACAGGGGAGAGGGTAATGGATTAGGAATGCTCCACAGAAATATTCCCTAGAGAGAAGAAGGGTGGGAGAAACATAGAGATGGCTCTAAGGAAAAAATGGAAAGTTTGGGATGAACAAGTTTTGGACAACAGTGTTTTTCTGATTGTTCTCTTTGACTAGATTTGCTAATTGATCAGTCATCTAAGTCACATGGTTTTGTTTCTGCCTTCTGATTAGGCAACTGACACATTTTAAATAGAGAATAAAGGAAAACAAACATCATTATTTAACATGACTTTTCTGTGTGAGTAATGATTTATGCCAACATTCAGAAAATTCCAGTATCTACACCCTTATTCACAAATATATGGCAACTGTCAGGATATTAACAAATAACAAATGATTTGATTCCAGAAATGCTAGCAAAGCATTCTGACTAATCTTTTAGTCATGAGAAGGTTTGGAAACCAGTGTGTTTGCTAATTGCATAGCTAAGATTTGACTCCCTAAGAAAAAAAGATGCCAGGGTAACAATACGTCTTACTAGTCAAAGCTCACTGCTGCTTATCAAATTCTCCCATCAGTCTGTAGGCATTGGTAACTTGGCACAAACATAGATGTTTAGTGCAGGATTTAAAAAGCTATTTGCAAGATTATATTTGTTTTCCTCTCTAGTGGTTCTGCCAATGCAGCATTTGTGTGTACGCTGCCTCCCCACAGCCTTCATCCTGATGGAACTAGTGCCCAAATCACACCCCCAAGACTTCTAGGTTGAAAAACAAATGTAGTTCCCAAATTCTGCCTGATCAGATTCCCATCTGGATATCCAGGCAACTGTAAACCACCCAGTAAATGAAGTGTGCAGACTCAAAGTTTCCTAACTTCAGCACCCAAGTTTACTTGGGCAAGACAATGAACGTATCAGACCTACCTGGCTGATGGAGGGTTTCTCTTTCTCCTGAAATCTTTCTTTGTAACAGGGAATCAAATATCAGCACTTTATGGAATCTTCTCTGACTGCACAGGGGGCTGTGGCATAGAGAAGCAACCAGGCAAAGGGGAGGGGGGCTCTATATGCTTAGCTTGCAGATGTGCTCCTGAGCACTCATTTAATGTGGCTAACTGGCTGTGACCGTTTTTTTGTTTTGTTTTTTTTTTCACTTCAGATGGTACAAAAAAGCCCATTAGCTTGTACCTTTAGAAGCTTTAACCCTTTCTGGCCATACTAATAGTACACGTTTGCTAGTTTAGATTGTAAAATCTGTTGGTCAGGCACTAATTTTTCTCTGATATTTGTACAGTACTCAGCTTGGTGGGTTCTTCACCTTTAGCAGGGGTTTTGAACTGACATTTTGGTAAAAAAATAAAAATAAAAAACTAAAGTCACTGCAGAGTTCAAAAAAAAATATGGGAAGTTGAATTTCTACAGACTCAGTAGAAAACCCACTTTGACCCGCATATTATTTTTTTCCTTTGAATTCACAGGCTACAATTAGATTATGACATTGAACCTGAACAAAGGAAGCAGTACATGCATGCAACCCAAGGAGTGAGGTCTGGCTGGAGGTCTGATTCAAAGCCCACTGAAGTAAAAGGAAGCTTTTCAATTGACTTCAATGATCTCTTTGATTAGGGCCTAAAAGAAGAATACTGCTTTGTACACTTTTCTTGCATCTTTCATCAGACTTGCTCAGAGCACTTTTCCAGCAAACACTAATTAGCCTCTTAGCTCCTCTGAGACTATTGCTTTTACAGGGGGAAGTGAGGGAGGGAGCTTCAGGGCAAAGAGAGGGTCACATAGTGAGTAAGTGGAAGAAGAAGAAACAGAATTCACAGCTGCCACAGCCCCCTTCTGTGGTTGGCAGGGCATCGCTACATCTACTGCTGAAATACTACCTCTGAAAGGGGAACACAGCAGCTGTTTTACATCACACAGTAACTTTGCAAAATAGGTT